TTACAATAGTGGATTATGTGTTAGAAGATTTCAGTCTCGGAATAGAAAGATAAAGAGAATTTTTATCGAGAAATATGTAAACATTGAGAAGTTAAGTTATATATTTTTGCAATTAATTGATTGTCTATAATATTTGTCTGCAATCACTATCTGTTAATATAAAAGTTAATATAAAATTTACATTTTATATTATATCTATAATATTTGTTTGCAATATTCACTATCTATTAATATAAAAGTTAATACAAAATTTACATTTTCATCTTAATTCACACTTAAAGATATGTTACTGAATGATGTACTTATCCAAAAATATATTTTTATATATAATTTTACAAAAAGAGAGAAGAATCGTTACTTATTTGGTTATTATGAAACGAACAAGTACGTTTCAAAAAAAAAAAAAGTTGAAAAGAACGTGCACAATGATCAGATTTACACGAAGCCAGAGCTCAACGTCGATAGCGGCGGCTTGCTAGCTTTGTATCGTCCCTCTCTCTCTCCTCTTTGGTACACTAAGGACGTCGCTATCGCTGCTATTGATGGAGGTATCGCCGCCACCGCCACCGCCACCGTCACCGTCACTGCCGCCAGTCTTCCTCGTACGCCTTTCACCGCGCTGGTCTCAGTTCGCTGTTGCCTCTCATCAGCTGTAGATGTGCTCGAATCAAGTGGACCGTTTGCAAATTCTCAATTTCGCGCGTGAACGTTTTATATAAAATATTCTTCGCATTCATATGTTTGTTCGTCGTATTTCTAAAGAGTTTGATTGAACAAGTTTAATCCAATTTATCGAAATTGAAAAAGATCAACTTCTTAATTGAGAGTAAAGTTCTCGACGTGATCAAGCCTGTGATATACCAAAGCTGAAGCGTATAAAATTAAAAACACGGCATCGAGTGATTGTTGTCTTCATGGTAAGGGATTGAATTCGTCGTAGAAACTGGTGGAGAAACGCCTAACGCGGGATCCACAGGTGGTTCGATTATTTCGTGATCGTTTTGCGAAAAGTTAAACTAGAAGAATATATCCTGGTTGAGTGAAAGTAACTCGAACTGATTAATCGGCTAATTCGTGGCCGTGGTAAATCCCGGTGGCTCTTAATATAATCGCGATAATACGTAATGTAATAATTGTGGATTAAATATTCAGTTTGTGCGACGGAGAGAAAATCCTACAGTTTCGTGCAAGTTTGAATATTGAATTGGTGGAGAAAATATAAGGTGATGACATGTACAAAATATGTATGTCGAATTATTAATAATTTTTGTTTCTTTGACGATGGAAAATTTAATGGGATGAAAGTTTAATGGAATATATTCTTCGTTATTCATTCTGATTTTTCCCAATATTGCATCACATATCAATTCGAGCATAATTCCATAATTTAGAGAATTCTTTAAAGAAGTAGTAAAATATCACATCACAGAAAAGATATTTTTCGAGTGTTGATTATCTGTTTAAAAAGAATTAATTTGAATCGAAATGTAACATAATGTAATCATTATCGTCTTTAATAGGAAAAAAGCGATAATGATATCTGGCAAGTTAACAGCCATTCTTATCAGCTTTTTATCCTGAACAAAAAATGATTCCAACTCGACTAACTGGTATTATCGAATTCATATTCGTGTTTTTATTCTTATAACAATCGGAATATATTCTCAAATCCTTCTCTTTTTTCCTCTTTCCATCTGAAAAATAACAATTTATCAAAACTTATTCTCACATGAAAGATGGGAATAAACGTGTGGTAAATATCCCAGATATGAAACATCGTGCGAAATAGATCGAAAAGTGTGACGCAACGGATCTGGTAATCGAGCGTGGGGCAATTAGCTAACGAAGTTATATACTACTACATGATTAAGTGCCGGTTGTTCCCAAGTGCACAGTGAGAGAATGATCGCGGAAAAGAGAGCGAGAATAGATTGCAGTGGCGGATTCTGATGTACGCTTGTTGAAGAATTTCAATTTAACGACCGGTTTTATCGCCCAGTTATCCCGATTAATATTGAAGCTGCGTGAGCTCGATAAGCTTAACGGTGATTCTTAGCCACTGATCGACCATATCTTTTCTCGTTATCTACTAATGAAATAACGATAATTAAACGCCATGTCGCGGCCATGAACGAGTCGAGGAGAGCTAACTCTGACTAGCCTCTGTTGCACTTCGAATCTAGTTCCTTTCGCTTGCACACAAGTTCGCTTCGGTGTTTACTTTCAACAGCTGACTTCCAGAGATCCGTCCAATGGCATCGACCTTTTGGATCATTTTGTAATCCAATTTTTTTTTTTTTTTTTTTAGAATTTTAAGAATTTGATTTGAATTATTTTTAAGGGATTTATATTGTAGATCAAAGATTTAAAATTATTTTTCTTTTTTTTTTATATTAAATATTCTATTAATTTTTAATTTATTTTGTATATGTAATCAATGCTATAGATATCAATAGTTATTATAATTTTGATAATCATAAAGAAAAAGATATATCTGATCGATTTCAATGATTTTTATATATATAATAGAAAACAAGATTGTGAACTATTTTTTCCTGTATATGTAAGCATCATTCGATCTTAATTTTCCAGATATTTGAAAAAGATAGTTGTTATTACAACATTGAATTTCGTTTATGCATCCATGACAACTGCCATGGCCACTTATCTACTATAAACACATAACAGCGATAAACAACTAAAATTGTATAACGGATGAACTATTTCCTCGTGAATTTTTATGAATTTGAAATATCTAATTCTCAATATCTTACATCAAGTTTGGACATTCTATAGAATATCTCAAATACGGAATGCGAAAATAAAGAATAATATAATCCTTGAATGATTAAAATTACAATGATCGAAATCACGATGAAATCAGCTTTTTACTTAATATTTATTATTATAACATCAGTGCATTCTGCGATCCGAACGAAAATAATATTAGTTCACCCGTTATACGTTTGAAATCGCTACCACACACTGTGATGTGTTATATAAATAGTTGATAAATGACATGTTGATACACACACATTCATGATATGTACAGGTGAAATTCAATAATAGCAACTATTTTTTTTTTCTTTTTTTACGAATATTTTGAAAATATTGATTCTTCAAAATTCTTCATAAGATATTTCATTTTAGATTTTTAGAAATTTTTAAAAATAATAAAATTCTAATTTCAGTTTTTCTTACATTCTTAGTTTCTAAGAATCAATTAAGTTTTTTCTAATTTTTTTTTAAGCAAGGATTTTAATTATATATGATTTTTAGATATTTTTTGCGATGAAAATAGAATTTTCCAAATTTTTTAAATAATTTTTAGTTTTGCACTTTTAAGAAATTATTTAAATTAATTATTTATTGCTTTTTTTATATTATTAAAAGAAGTTTTAAAAGTCGAAGGAATTTTATAGAGAAAATATATAAAAAATATATTAAATATATATACAAAAAAATGTTAAAATATTTTTCTATTGAAATATTTTAAAATAATAAAGAATTTTTTTACAATACTAAAAAGTATTTTGGAATATTAAGAAAATTCTTAGAAATTAAATAGAAGTCAAATATTTCTTAAAATTTGTTGACACAATCTAAGAAATTTTACGAATTTTAAAAATATTGAAAAATTGTTTAAAAAAACTTTGAAATTACAGGAAAATTTTGAAATATTTTGAAATACCAAATAATATGTTACGATACCAAAAAATATTTTGAAATATTTCGCAGTCTTTTGAAATAAATGATTTTCCTTCGTAATCTTTTGAATCGCTATAGAATTTTTCAATATATGAAAAAAATCTTTTGAAGTATCAAAAAAGTATTATATTCAATAACTCTATTTCATATCTTTTTATTTTTACTTTAATTTGAAACTTTCAATGAAAGAAAATCACTTTAAAAAAAAACAAAATCTATTAAATATCTATGAAATATCAAATTTTTTGCAAAAAATAAGAACTATTTTATTTTATTTTACAAAGCACAAAGATCGACCGATTGACAAAGAATAAGAAGTTCTTATAAATACATTATTCGAATGTAATCTCATGATATTTCTAAACATGTACATTTGAATCATAAACATGTACTTACTAGATATTCTCGAAGGATGCGTTGGTAATACATAGAATGTTAAACTTCTCACTGTGTTTATTCTCGAAACTGTTTATCTATTTGCAATACGATTACATTAATCACATCATCACTTTATTACCATTCTTTACTCACTTTAGTGTCATAATTTTTATGACAATCATCAATTAATATCATCTACAGAATTAAAGAACATTGAGACGATAACATCTTTTTACTAACTTTGTTTTATTCTTTCAATTATTGTTCTGACTTTTTCATCATTATATATTTTGTTTTTTAACTGACACTTTATCATTGTAATATTTTATATTAGAACAATAAAAAATTTTTAGAAAAGAATAATAAAATTAAATATAAATATAAAAAAATAATTAAATGATTAAAATATTTATTTATATTTATATTTTATATTATATATTTTATATTATATTCTATATTTGTATACATAAATATTTGTATATAGTATGTTATATAGTTGTAAAACATATGTAATTAAAATGTTTCACACTTTAAATAAATTAAATAATCAAATTTTGTTTAATGAAATTATAAAAATATGTAAAATAATAAATAAATATATGCTAAAGATTAACATAATAAATTGATTTTTTTTACTGATATAATTTTTCATGCAATATTATATATAACTTTTTATAATCTATATTTATAAAATATATCAAATATTTAATTTAATTGGATATTTTTGGAAACAAGCATAAAAATATTACTTTATAAAATAAATTATATTTTTCAAATATTTTATTTCTATCTACATTCAATGTGTAATATCCATTCCAACAATATCCATTTGAGAATATGGCGTAGCTTAATACGTTTTATCGAAGGCGGAAATGATACAGTTAATAACATCTCCCATTTCGTTTCCATTATAGTGTGGCTCCCTGGAGATCGGCGAGGAACGCCAACGTCGGGTCGCTATGATGGAGTCCCTGTGCCAGGTGAGCGGCACCAAGAACATTGGCGGCAACGGAGGCAACGACAACAACGCGAACACCAATGGCAACAATAACAACAATCCGAATTGTCCAGATCCCCAGCAGAGGCTGGCGGTACTCAGTTTCGATCAAGTTAAACGATTGAACGATGTCATGAACGAAGTGGTATGCATCCACGGACGTGGAAATTTTCCCACTTTGGAGGTCAGATTGAGAGATCTGGTCAATGTGGTCCGTAGTAAATTGGAATCTGATCCGAGTAATGGTGGTGCCGGAATGAGGGTACGTGATATAAGATTGAACGGTGGTGCCGCTTCTCATGTTTTGGCCACTGAATCACAACCGTACAATGATCTGGATCTGATCTTTGCCGTGGAGCTTTCGAGCGGACGAAATTATGACAAGGTGAAGGCCGCAGTACTCGGCTCGCTGTTCGACCTGCTACCAGAAGGTGTCAGTCGTAAACGTATCACTACTTGTAGCCTGAAAGAGGCTTACGTGAGCAAAATGGTGAAAGTGAATAACGAAGGTGACCGGTGGTCCCTAATCTCCCTCGGGAATTCACGAGGTCACAGGAATGTCGAGCTGAAATTTGTTGATTCGATGAGGCGACAGTTTGAGTTTTCGGTCGATTCGTTCCAGATTGTGCTCGATTCGCTCCTCTTGTTCTACGAATGCAGCAAACTACCTATTGGCGAAAATTTCTATCCGACGGTAGTAGGTGAATCAGTATATGGTGACTTCCAAGAAGCGTTATATCATCTTCACAAGAAATTGATCTCGACAAGGAGTCCGGAAGAGATTCGCGGAGGTGGTCTGCTCAAGTATTGCAATCTTTTGGTTAAGATGTACAAACCCTCGCAACCCGAATACATAAAGACTCTCGAGCGATACATGTGCTCGAGATTCTTTATCGATTTTCCCGATATTAGCCAACAACGCGCCAAACTTGAGAACTACCTGTGGAATCACTTCGTCGGTCCTGAAGAGGAGACCCTTAAGTATCAGTACCTGATGTTACTCCATAATGTAGTGGAAGAATCTACTGTATGTCTCATGGGCCACGAGAGACGACAGACTCTCGCTTTGATCGAAAATCTTGCCTACCAGGTATTGTGCCAAGAGCAACAACAACGATTGACGAATCATCAGCAAGCTCCACCTGGACCACCCGCCACCTATGTATACGCGAACGGTTATTATTATGCTCCAGTGATACCTGCGTGTTATACATGCACCTGCAACTCGTGGATGGCGTGCTCGTCGTGATGCGACATCGACACTAACGCCATCGTCGCCACTAGTACCGCCATCACTACCGCTACGACAACTACCGGCACGGTCATCGACGTCCGCGACATCTCTGCGATCATTACCGATTATAAAACTATCGATGAGACTTTGCTTACCGACCACGGGGGCGAACATCTACTACCAGGATATAATCGACGAGATTGGGATCATCATGATCCTTGTTTATTCAAAAATATCGAGAATGATGATGATCGATCATTGATTGTTCACGGGCCAAAGGAGTATTGTTTAGTTCTCAGTTGACGCTTGGACATGCATCAAACATCACACATTGACCAATTCAGAGTGTGACGTAAACGAGTAGTATTCTCGTTGAAATGAAAGCAACAGAAAATGAATTCGCCGTGATCGATTCGATGATGGATCGTAAAGATCATTTGAACGGGTCGGTGATGATGAACATAGATTCAGGGAAGACTGAAGAGACTAAAAAACCAAGAAGATCCAAAGCGAGAATGGGAATATTCGATTTGTTACATTATACGTTTTCGTCTATTCGTGCATCTTTCTATTTCTCCTGGACGTGTTTATCCAACTGCAATAGACGAATCAGTTGTCGTGGAGGAAGGACCAAAACACGATGGTACTTGTTATAATACAGTCGTAGGGGATCAACTGAGAGACTACAAGACTCCAAACGAAACAAAATAAAAAAAAAAAAAAAAAAAAAAAAAAAAGAATGATAATAAACAAAGCGAAACAGATAAAAAAAATAACAGAAAATGTGTTGTGCCTAACGAATTCAAACGAATAGTGGAGAGAAATGTAATCCGTTTGCGTACGCGCGGTAAATGATAGACTTTTAACGTTACATTCTTATTTGTGCGCGCGTCGATAGAACGAAATATAGACGCATATAACTTGCAATAGTGGCGCGAGAAAAGCGGAGACTGTGCGTGCATCGAAAAAAAACATGTTTCAAAGTCCCTGGGGAATAGTAGCGCTGCCATTCAGTTCGCCAAGGCATCAGCTCGCCAAGATTCCGAATAATAGCGATAAAAGAAAAATCAATTGTGAGGCGGAGAAGCGACGACGAATCGAGAGATGTATGGGAGAAGGATATTGAGAAATTCGAAAGACCGACGACGAGAAAGAAAAAACGAAAGGATAGAGAGCGCCTGGAATTGAATCAGAAAATAACAGAAACAATTGTTAGCGCATATGGAAGCGTCCGTTAGCGTTCCACGGTCGCTCTTTCTTTTCTTTTTTTCCAGACAAAAAAATGAAAAACAAAAAAATAAAAAATAAAAAAATAAAAAAAAATATATAACGAATGAACATAATGTTTCGAAAATACTATACTAAAAGTAGTGGTAATACACAGATTTCACAAAAAAAAAAAGCAACAACAAAAAAATAAATTTAAAGCAAACAGCAGGCTACGAAACATTAACGGATGTGGCGTTTGCTAAAAGATTAATTATAAATATATAAATAAATATATATATATTTAAAAATATATATAAATACATGTATAAAATCTGTGTATAAATATTAATGTGTGGCTGTGAACACATTTCATTTAGATACTACTGTAACGTGATATATAAGAATTGAAAAAAAATTGAGGATGAGCGGCGCGATCCATGTGACAACATGAGAGAGGACGAGAGTTTGTACGCGGAGATAGAGAGTGTGAGAGTGGGAAAGAGAATAAAAGAGCAAAAGAGATAAAGAAAGAAGAAAATTAACCAGGGGTGAAAGACGATTCCATTCGTTTTTATCTTTTTCTAATTTTTGCGTGAACCAGCGCTGTCATGTCGCAAATAAACAAAATGAAAACATAACAAACACACACATATTCGTACATCTTGCGAATCATAAAAAGTAAACAAAGATGAAGGTTAATCCAAGTAAAAAAAAAACAAACCATGAGTTACTAAAAACACATATATGGAACATGAGATGCTAAAATAATAAAAACAGCTATTTTTTTCTTCTTTCAATTATATTATTTCAGAAAAAGCTCAAGAAACCATCAAAGAACGTGTCGAATGAAATTCAAATAAATTAAAAAACAAATTTCTCCTCCCTATATGCGAAATTACGTACATGATCACATAAATGAATACATATATTTTATATATATATTTACATATATGTGAATTTAAATACACACACGTTTGTGTGATTGAGTAGTCTTTTGATCAAGCGACGATTAGTATTCTTTGGTAGCGGCGACAGTCAACAATCAGCTCTGCTTGCATAACTTTTTTTTCTTTTTAGATACCGATAATTATTTAATGCTATATCCTGATGCTATATCCTGAGATCCGTTGATAGTGTGTCACAAAGAAAGAAAGAGAGGAAGAGAGAAAAAGAGAAATAAAATATACGTGTATTCGCGTGCCCATGTTTCTCTGCCCATGATAAAACGTATTTGCATAATAAAACATAATAGTACTCAGTGCGACGAACTTGCAAATTGTATATCGTTCTGCGAATCGTTGTATTATACACACAAACGAGCACGCATGTGTGTGTATCCACGTGTGTATAATCCGTTCTATATATGCACAGAGAATACACCACCAGCCACAGATCTTTGAGCGTTCCACGCGTCTGCAGATGTCTCTATCTTTCTATCATGTTTTTGTTCTATCTCTGTCTTTCTCTCTTTCTTTCTCTGTATAACACGTAATATATGTCATGTACATATACACATACGGTAGCGTTAATATATAAGGCTGAGCGAAAGAAGGGATGAGTGTTCGCGACTTGGCGTCTCTCTTTTATGTGCGTGTTCGTATCGACTGGTGACCCCGTTAGTCAACTCAGTCAGTCACTTTGCTCGCTCGCTCGTTCACCAGCTAAGCTGCTTCTAGCCAGGCGCGTTTGCTCGCTCACTCACTCTTCCTTTCAGTTTGCAAGCGAAAGTAAAGGCCTAATAAAAAGCCCGCAAACTGGTTTTTCAGGTATATCGCGTGTTAATGCTAAGGAGAGCCAGGCCGACTAGCGACGTTGTATGCACCCGGTGTACACTTCTAGCCGCTTGTTCCCTGTTTCCTTCAATATCATCACTACATTTTCTACCACCTATCAATGATTCTTGTAGTAGTTGTTTCCCTCGCGAAATTCAATTGATTTTCTTATGTTTCTGCAATATATTTTGCAGAGACAATTGTTATTACTAAAAATTTTATTTTTTTCATTGTTGATTTACATAATCTGGTTGAAGATACGCAGAAAATTCGCGGTAAAAAAAGATATTCATAGAAAAAAGATGATAGTATTATAGTGATTAGTAATTCTGAAAGCGTTTTATAAACGTTATTTTTGAATTAGGTTACTCAATTAAGAATATAGAATTGAACTATTTTCTTCTTTGATATAAAGCTTTGGTAATTTTTTTTTTTTTTTTGAGTTTGATGCGTATATATTGTTTATGATTAGCATCAGTGATCTTACATTTTTTAGGTTTATTACAATAGGATTTTGAATGTTAGAATAATTCGAGTCGAAAATAGCAATTTGGATCGATATTAAGTTTATCTTGAAAAAATCAGAATAGATAAGTTAAAATCTTATCTTAAATTCATTTTCAAATATCTCCAGAATGTGTTCCGATTTAATAAATTTTAAGATATTTAGAATTTGGAATTAGAAATGAAGTATAGTTTAACATTTAAAGCGGAAATTTATTTTATAAGTTCGATAATTAATAAATAAAGAA